ATGTATGTGTGGTATGTGATGGCCAGTTTGTGTCTTGTGATGCATCGGTGTATGTGTGGTATGTGATGGCCAGTTTGTGTCTTGTGATGCATCGGCGTATGTGTGGGTATGTGATGGCCAGTTTGTGTCTTGTGATGCATCGGTGTATGTGTGGTATGTGATGGCCAGTTTGTGTCTTGTGATGCATCGGTGTATGTGTGGTATGTGATGGCCAGTTTGTGTCTTGTGATGCATCGGTGTATGTGTGGTATGTGATGGCCAGTTTGTGTCTTGTGATGCATCGGCGTATGTGTGGGTATGTGATGGCCAGTTTGTGTCTTGTGATGCATCGGTGTATGTGTGGTATGTGATGGCCAGTTTGTGTCTTGTGATGCATCGGTGTATGTGTGGTATGTGATGGCCAGTTTGTGTCTTGTGATGCATCGGTGTATGTGTGGTATGTGATGGCCAGTTTGTGTCTTGTGATGCATCAGCGTATGTGTGGGTATGTGATGGCCAGTTTGTGTCTTGTGATGCATCGGTGTATGTGTGGTATGTGATGGCCAGTTTGTGTCTTGTGATGCATCGGTGTATGTGTGGTATGTGATGGCCAGTTTGTGTCTTGTGATGCATCGGTGTATGTGTGGTATGTGATGGCCAGTTTGTGTCTTGTGATGCATCGGCGTATTTGTGGGTATGTGATGGCCAGTTTGTGTCTTGTGATGCATCGGTGTATGTGTGGTATGTGATGGCCAGTTTGTGTCTTGTGATGCATCGGTGTATGTGTGGTATGTGATGGCCAGTTTGTGTCTTGTGATGCATCGGTGTATGTGTGGTATGTGATGGCCAGTTTGTGTCTTGTGATGCATCAGCGTATGTGTGGTATGTGATGGCCAGTTTGTGTCTTGTGATGCATCGGTGTATGTGTGGTATGTGATGGCCAGTTTGTGTCTTGTGATGCATCAGCGTATGTGTGGTATGTGATGGCCAGTTTGTGTCTTGTGATGCATCGAGGTATGTGTGGTATGTGATGGCCAGTTTGTGTCTTGTGATGCATCGGCGTATGTGTGGTATGTGATGGCCAGTTTGTGTCTTGTGATGCATCGGCGTATGTGTGGTATGTGATGGCCAGTTTGTGTCTTGTGATGCATCGGCGTATGTGTGGTATGTGATGGCCAGTTTGTGTCTTGTGATGCATCGGCGTATGTGTGGTATGTGATGGCCAGTTTGTGTCTTGTGATGCATCGGCGTATGTGTGGTATGTGATGGCCAGTTTGTGTCTTGTGATGCATCGATGTATGTGTGGTATGTGATGGCCAGTTTGTGTCTTGTGATGCATCGGCGTATGTGTGGTATGTGATGGCCAGTTTGTGTCTTGTGATGCATCGATGTATGTGTGGTATGTGATGGCCAGTTTGTGTCTTGTGATGCATCGGCGTATGTGTGGTATGTGATGGCCAGTTTGTGTCTTGTGATGCATCGATGTATGTGTGGTATGTGATGGCCAGTTTGTGTCTTGTGATGCATCGGCGTATGTGTGGTATGTGATGGCCAGTTTGTGTCTTGTGATGCATCGGCGTATGTGTGGTATGTGATGGCCAGTTTGTGTCTTGTGATGCATCGATGTATGTGTGGTATGTGACGGCCAGTTTGTGTCTTGTGATGCATCGGCGTATGTGTGGTATGTGATGGCCAGTTTGAGTTGATATGGTTGAGATGGGACGGTAGGAGTCAGGCTTGTTTGGGTTTTTTCCTCATTTGAGGACTGGTACTATATCAGAATGTTTCCATTGAAGGGGTATAGTGCCCATTGTCTATATTTAGTTTTTGTATTCTAATTGGGATTTTGTTTATGATTATGTAACTGATATTATCTTGTCCTGTGGCTGAGGCTGTGTTTTGGTGTTGGCTGAGCAGCTTGTTTTAAAAAAGTTGGCAGCGATTGCAATAGTTTTGGCTTTATTTGTGGTGAGGTTCTTAATGTTGGAATAAATAGATTTTAGGGAATTAGCTTTTATGGCTTTAAATTTGTTCCTTAATAGCCCAGTGTTTTGTTTGCTAATGTTTAAGTTTTTACTGAAAGTTTGCCAGTGTATTCTCTTTGCGCTGCCATGATTATTTGTTTAGTTTTGTTTCTCAGATTTATAACTACAGGTAGTTTAGAACCGTCTCTCTTAAAATGATTGGGAGCCTTTTTTCTTTGTTTTCTAGCCTTGATTATTTTGTTGCTCCACCAAGGGACTGGGGTGTGTAAGAAGTTATTTATTTAGGTGGGTATACTTTTGTGTTAAAAGTGTCTGTGTCCGTGTTTTGTATTTGTGATCATGTGATGTGTCAGATTGATGGCAGAGTTTGATAAACAGTTGCCAGTTTGTTTCTTTTAAATTGAAATTTGTTTGCTGGGTGTTTCCTCAAGTTTGATCATTAGTTAAAAGGGATTTGTTTATTATATTAAGTATGATTTTGAGGACCAGTGATCACTGCCATTATAAACTTCCCAGCTTGTTTTTGTAACAGATTTGCTGTCAAAGAGATAGTTATGAATGACATGGTGATGGGTATAACTTTGAGATAATTTTAGTTCAGTGATATGACTTTAGTTTATTTCTCAACTGTGGGTGGCAGCTAGGAAACTGGCATAAGATTTTTGGTAGAGTTTGAACTTGTGAGCTAGGCTATTGTATTTTTTACAATATAATAAGAAGGGCAGCTGCTATGAACTTTATAAGTTTGTTATGTTGTTATATAATTTGTTGAGTTGTGGTTGCTGAAGGTGCTGTTTTTAAGTTTTGATTTTTTGTTGATTTTCTGTTATTTTGCTGAGTAATGTGGGTCCAAGGTTGTGTGGTTGTATGGGTGTTTGAGTGGTTGGGCGTGCTGATGGGATTGAGGGTTGTGATAGTGGATGGTTGTATGGGTGTTTGAGTGGTTGGGCGTGCTGACGGGATTGAGGGTTGTGATAGTGGATGGTTGTATGGGTGTTTGAGTGGTTGGGCGTGCTGATGGGATTGAGGGTTGTGATAGTGGATGGTTGTATTGGTGTTTGAGTGGTTGGGCGTGCTGACGGGATTGAGGGTTGTGATAGTGGATGGTTGTATGGGTGTTTGAGTGGTTGGGCGTGCTGACGGGATTGGGGGTTGTGATAGTGGATGGTTGTATTGGTGTTTGAGTGGTTGGGCGTGCTGACGGGATTGAGGGTTGTGATAGTGGATGGTTGTATGGGTGTTTGAGTGGTTGGGCGTGCTGACGGGATTGGGGGTTGTGATAGTGGATGGTTGTATTGGTGTTTGAGTGGTTGGGCATGCTGACGGGATTGAGGGTTGTGATAGTGGATGGTTGTATTGGTGTTTGAGTGGTTGGGCATGCTGACGGGATTGGGGGTTGTGATGGTGGTGTGGTTGTATGGGTGTTTGAGTGTTTGGGCGGGCTGACGGGATTGGAGGTTGTGAGGGTGGTGTGGTTGTATGGGTGTTTGAGTGGTTGGGCGTGCTGATGGGATTGAGGGTTGTGATAGTGGATGGTTGTATGGGTGTTTGAGTGATTGGGCGTGCTGATGGGATTGGAGGTTGTGATGGTGGTGTGGTTGTATGGGTGTTTGAGTGATTGGGCGTGCTGATGGGATTGAGGGTTGTGATAGTGGATGGTTGTATGGGTGTTTGAGTGATTGGGCGTGCTGATGGGATTGAGGGTTGTGATAGTGGATGGTTGTATGGGTGTTTGAGTGATTGGGCTTGCTGATGGGATTGAGGGTTGTGATAATGGATGATTGTATGGTTGTTTGAGTGGTTGGGCGTGCTGATGGGATTGGGGGTTGTGATGGTTGTGTGGTTGTATGGGTGTTTGAGTGGTTGGGTGTGCTGGTGGGATTGGGGGTGGTGATGGTGGTGTGGTTGTATGGGTGTTTGAGTGGTTGGGCGTGCTGATGTGATTGGGGGTGGTGATGGTGGATGGTTGGGTGGTAGTGGTATGGGGAGGGTGGATTTAAATTGTGGTTTGGGCCTGGGTATTGACTGTAGTAGGGGCCGGGCTTGGGAGTTGGTGTGGTTTAAGGGGTAGGGTAGGATAGGATGTGTATGTGTATTAGGTTTGGTGGGGGGTGGGGGGTAGGGGGTGGGGGATGTGTCTACTATGGTTTCTGTGTGTTTGGAGGTGGGTTGAGAAGTTGCGAGTATCTGTTTTGGTTTAGGTTTTTGTCTTTGAGATTGTGGTTTCTGGTTGTTTGGGGGAGTGGGGGGAGGGGTTGGAAGGAACTAACTGTAGAGTCTAGGGTTCGGTCTGACAGTCGTAGGAATTCCTCGTCTGTGGTAATGTGGTGTTGTATGATTGCTGGTACATGTGACTGTTTTATGTTTTTATCAAGTTTAAAAATATGTTGTTTGATCGGACAGGTGTTTTGGTTTGCTGTATGTCCTTCGGCGTTACAATTCCTACAGAAAGGGGCCCACGTGCACTACTGAATGAGATGGTTTTCAGAGTCACATTTTGGTCATAGTGGGTCATTTTTGCATGTAGTAGAGTGCATCAAAAGACTGGCACTGGTCACATTGGATTGTTTTTTTTTCTGATGGGGTGAACTTTATCATTTAGTGCACAGAAGGTTATGTGAGTGGGGAGTGATATGGCTTTGAATGTTAGGAAAATTGTTTAGGTGGATGTTCTGCCTGTGATGGGTTGTTTCCTCTTTACTGTTATGTATTCTGGTATTTTTGGTTGTGTTGGGTATTGGTTTGCTAATTGTATCTATTCTTCCATGTCTTGTGTCCAGGTAAATGACTCTTTGTATTTGTGTTTGCCTTATGGGGGCTGCAAATTTATGTTTAAACCATCAATGATGGGGGCTCTTAGTGCGTTATGGACTGCTGATTGGTTTGGGTGATTTGAAGCCTCGGCCGCAAAAGTTGACATATTAAATTTTATATTCTAAATTTGGGTGTGTTTTTTTGGTGCATACTTTTTTTGCTGTTTTATGCAGTTCCGTAGGTGATATATACATGATCTCATGTTATTTCTGTTTGTTTTAGGTTGTGTGAGTTGGGTGGATTTGTCGGTGGTGGATCTGGCTGAGCTGTGTGGTGGTCAGGTAGTCTTTATTGTTGGTTGATCGTAGTGTTGAGTTGGATGATGATGATGATGATGATGATGATGATGATGATGATGATATGTAGAAGATGTTCCCTATCATTCCCTGTAGGCATGTGTCACTGTAGGCATTAGTAGACCTGACCAGTCAATATACTCTGTAGCTACTATTCCCTGTAGGCGTGTGTCACTGTAGGCATTAGAAGACCTAACTAGTCAATATAGTCCATTCTGAGATTGTCACAGATCAAGCTGTCTTTGGTTGGTCTAAGCTTGGTGTCATCATTCACTTTCTTATGGGTTCACGTTGATGTCCACACTGCAGGGCAGGGCAGGGCAAGTCAAACTTCTGTCTTGGACTGCTCTCTCTCTTCCAAGAACATCTTCACTCATCCAAGACAGGTTCACAGTAAACATAATCAGTGTTTATGCCATGAAAACACAGAAAATATAATTTTGGTTATATATTACTGTTTTCTAAATGTAGTGTATATATAAAATTAACAATCTCTCGTTTGCTCATTTTGCCTTAGTTTTTAATTGTCTAATTTAGTAATTACCATAACACTAATTTATGCGTTTATTTCACTCAACTTGAGGGCATATTTGAAGCAGATGATGTAAATAAGACAGGGATTTTTCGAGGAGTAGTCAAAATGTAGTGAAAAAGATATCAGTATTTTGTAGAGCTGAGTATCGCCTGGTATCTTGCAATATGATTTGCGTCATGGTATGGACTGACGATACTACTGGTAAGAAAGGATGAAGTCACTGCAATACAGCTTTAAAACCTCTTTCTTCATACATTTATTCATAGTTATCTGAAAAACTTTAACATAGAAAACCACAACATCAAAACAGTTCTAAATGAAGGATGGTTATTAAATGTGACAGTTAGTTGGCCCGTCCTCGTGTTCTGCCATGCTTACAGGTTGCGCTGTTCTACTTTTACCATTACAGGAGGTAACTCTATCAGTTCCTGTTCTATTTATAGAGTATTGTGATCTCACAAACTGACAATTCAAGTATCGTGTGAACCTAAGTATTGATGATATGGTAGGTATCAGTGAATCATTACAACCCTAGTATTTTCTTCATATGTTGATGAAGTCATGTTTTGGTGAGGTGAGGTGAGATGGGGTTTACCGTCGCGTCCAAGATTATTGCACTTACATAATGGCGTGTGTGTGTGTGGGGGTGTGGGGGTGTGTGTGTGTGTGAGAGAGAGAGAGTGTGTGTGTGTGAGTGAGTGTGAAAGTGTGTGTGTGTGAGGGTGTGTGTGAGTGTGTGGGTGTGTGTGGGTGTGGGTGTGAGTGCGGGTGTGGGTGTGGGTGTGGGTGTGGGTGTGGGTGTGGGTGCATGCTTGTAGTAGTCTGGACTGATGCCGATTTACAGTGCCGAGATATCATGGGGCAGTTTAACATGAATACCCCACTCAGAAACAGTATGCTGACTCCGAGTCAACCAGTCCTTGTTTTGCTAAGCGCCAGACAAGGTAACAACAACAACCATGGTATGACACGGCTGGGGATCCAGGCTTCCGCTCTCCAGGCAGATGCTATACCACTAGGCCACTGAGGTGGTCGAAGTCATGTTCAGTGTTCATGGTTGTTGGACATACTTTTGTGAACATTCCATGGACTTCTATCCAGTAAAAAAAACAAATGGCAATCTGCCTTAGAATTGGGAATAAACTGTTCATCAACATGTCCATTTGCCGTAGTGTAATACTGCTTCTTGTCTGTAATTCTTGTATTTTAAAGCCCAAATCACGCTAATTGAATAATGTCTTTTGTGCACTCACTCATTGATTTGTATTTTAGAAGTGTTCACTCTGTACAGTGTCTGTAAATATAGTTCACTGATTTGTTGTCTTATTTGAGAGATGTTCAGCAATTAGTTGTTTCAAATGTGATATGCCCCCCTAACTATTGTCTAACCAACATCATGCTCGGGGGAATTTGTATGTATAACAGTAGGTTCTGGACAAGTAGGAATGCCCCCATTTTGATGTAAACATATTTTTATTTCAACTGAAAATTGGGATCGTTAAACGCTTATTTTAATCCCTCTCCTTACATAGAAATCAGGTAAAAAAGATGGTCAAGGTGTCCACATAATATTTACACAACAACATACCTTGGTGGTCAGTTAGCCTGTGAAGATCCGGGATAGAATAGGTCTTCAGCAACCCATGCTTGACATAAGAGGCGACTAACGGGATCGGGTGGTCAGACTCGCTGACTTGGTTGATGCATGTCATCGAATCTCAATTGTGTGGATCAATGCTCATGATATCAATCACTGGATTGTCTGGTCCAGACTTGATTATTTACTGACCGCCGTCTTATAGCCAGAATATTGCTGAGTGCGGCATTAAACAACAAACAAACAGTTAGCAAGCATGATCAGCAGTGTTTGGTTTGGATAGTCAGAATGATGGGATTGTACATAATATTAAGTACTACATAATGTCCACAAGGTACACATATTTGTATTATTTAAGTTTAAATCTTCCAGAATTTGTGATGAAAGTATGGACAGATTTGCTTCAGATGATAGGCCTTCACATCCGTAAAGTACTGTATGAATATCATATCCTGTATGTAATATAATAAATTGCTCCTAATTTGATCAGAATTGTAACAAAAAAGAAGTAGTGTAGTAGGTCTTCATAGTAGTGACCACAGGAGAAAACTGGGCTGTCAGTTATGAATCTATCAATTTATGTCCGTTTAGGTCACTGGATCTGAGTGAGGCGACAGGAGATATTTTGACAGAAACTGATTCCAAAATATTGTATAATAAAAAATGTTTGTAATTGTAAGTGCATAATAATACATTTCGAGAATTTGAGTATGAGCCAGTAGATTTAATTTCTTCGTTATTATACTCTAATTTTGTAGAGTTAGGTGTAAAGGATTTTGTATAGTGTTGAATCTTACATCTAATAGTTTGTAATCACTCTGAGTGTTAGCTTGGTCTGGGATACGGTTGCAGAGATAAGCTGGTGCTGAGTTATTTACCATTTTGTAGAATAAAGATAAAGATTGATTTTTGCGTCTTAGTAACAATGCTTTCACATTTGTTTCTGTATACAGTTTTGTGCTTATGCCCTTTGTTGCACAACATGCAGTGTTCCCGCTTGATTTTGAAACTGCCAGTCCTGGTGGACTGTCAACACCAAAAATTACAATTCCTCCCTAATTTTTGTTAGTCCCAACTTTCAATAAATTAAAAATGTACAAAATTTACCTGGTTTTAATTCCCTCAACATGTTCAATGCAATGATGTCATCTCTGCAGTAACATACTTAGATCTACAAGTCATTCATACAAAGTTCAGTCACACTTTTCTCTCTCTTTTTTGAATATTTCGAGACAAAGTCGCTACACATATTTAACCTCGAAGCAAGGCAAAATGTTATTTCCTTCCACCAAAAGTTGACAAGGGGAAACCCTGATGGTAACAGACAAGCTGACTTCGTTCGGAAAAATTTAAATATTGCTTATGTTTTGTTCAACAACAAAGATTTTTATAAGGTACTAACTATATTTGCTGCTCCACAGGGACTGGTAGTCACATGAATTACCGGTCCAAGCCTAATTTGACCTGTAAAAAACTGGTAATTACCGGTAAATGGGAACACTGATATGGTTCTTAGAGCATCCAGATTTAATCTTTCCAGTGTCAGTTCGTGATTTTGTAGTACAATTATTCCCAATGTTACTACAAATAATCAATTTTTTTGTTTTTTATTGTTTATGAAATGAAGTACCTGTTACATAAAATGGGCTTTCGCCCAGGGCAGCAGAAAGACATGACATGTAGCACAACTTATCAGTACCTCTTAGATTTATATGGAAAATAACATACTTCTTACTCACACATTCACTCTAGTAATACAATCATACTGCATACATTAAGTATGCATATTGTATATAATATTGCAGTGCAGGAAAGTACATGGTCTCAAATATTACATTCTTAAGTATAAAGCTGAAATTAAAATGAAAGCTGCTACTGGTTTTCGAAAAGTTTAACAAATGGGTAATTGTTTCCTTTTCATTGTGACAGAAGGAGCACACATTATTTTAATTAAGTACACACAGAAAAGAATTAGTAGTGAGAATTCTGTGGGTAAGTTTGTATTGAAATCAACACTGTTTTACATCCTGTTTTGTACTAAATATTTTATTACAGATATTGTTTCAAATTGTAACTCCCACTTTTCCTGCCCTTTAGTTTTTACTTCTGTAGCAAGGGGGCTCAGGTAGGGTGAATATTTTTTCATATGTAAAATCTCTTAAAGCCCCATCTGCGGTAGTAACTAACGCACTCTAGTGGGCGGAGCTTATACAAGTGATTTGACAGGTCTATATGACGTCATGATAACACATACATTTCATTGGTTAATGCGTAAACGGGTGACGTCATGTAAACACCCACCCACGTTGGTCGTTTGACAACAAGGACGGAAGTTTTAATGGTAATATAAATAACTACCAAACGATTCCAAGACTTTTCAACAAACGCGTACGTCTTTGGTTGTCGTCTTCACATCTTCATAAAATGATACCGTGGAATGTCCACGATTTATCCAACACACAAATTATAGTTCTAGATCTCTGGAATAGAACGAAATACGTTTGTCGTGATGCATATGAGCAGTGTAAATGAAGAAACATAATATGTGTTGGGGCACCAATCGCTATCCTGTGGTGTACGGTATATCTGCAGTTTATAAATAGCATTTCTCACAATATATACAGTAATCGGTGATTTCAACAGTGTTTTTCTTCGTTGTGTTCGTCTTGCCTCATCTGGAATCTGGACGACAACGATCGTGTAAAAAACCCTGGTAATGGTCAAAAATATTTTCAAGTGATCAAAGTAGCTTCTTGTCGTTTTTTCATTGCCCAGTAGCAATGTATTTTGGCAAAGTCTCACTTGTCCGATGAAGCTCCTCATGCCGAAACTAATCAGAGACCGGGCGGACGA